ATAGCCTTTGAAGGAAACACGTGATAAGTGTCACAGACCAGAAAGACAATTACCTTCCTGCAACTTGTAATATCGGGCCTCTGGGTTCATCATTGAATGATATTGATAGGGAAACATAATGGGCAAAGGAACATCCCTGTTCAAAACACTAAATCTTTTCATTAATGTCATTTGGTCATTTTGGTGTGCAATTTTGGCATTGCAAACTATTTTGCTAAGTCATTCATTTCTGGGTCCAGGCATGACCATCTTAGTTTTAAAAATCTTGTATGCTGTCAGGTTTCCATTGAGCAAGTTTCATTTATTCATAGAAAAAGTATTTATTATGTTTTCATCATGCCATGTTAACTACTTTCTATCTATATCCATCTATAGATATCTATATGGATAGAAAGATATGGATAAAGATACATGCTTATATGTGTATATAAACATATATAACATATAAATAAAAATACAAAATTATGTAAGTCTATAAAGTAAGTGTTGTGGAACAACACAGGAAGATGAGAAATGAGTTAATAGTAACCACTCATGTCAATGGACCCCTAATTTCAGCAGCTGCAACAGGAAATAGGAAATCTTATAAAGGGAGGGTCAAGGAACAGGCATTAATTCTTTCTGAGTTGCGTGGCAATGCTTTGTCTTTCTTGATTTAGCTGGAAATGGCCTCTGACTCCAAGGGAAAATCCAGAGAGGAAGACCAGATAAGACTATTTGGCATGGCGCTAAGCCAGAAACCAAGGCTGGGAGAGGTAAAAGAAACCATCCCCAAAGTCACACAGGTAGCAAGTGGTGCAATGGAAGTATGAGCCTGGCTGCTCCACTGCCTGCTGAAATACCAGGAAATGCAAGAGTGGGCAACATGCTGATATGTGGAGGGTGCCTTCTGGAGAGCAGCTCACCCAGTGCAGTTTCTTCTGTAGTAACAATAAGGAAGACTGCACGCAACAGGTGATGTCCCATGCAGTGGCCATGATCCCACCTACTTAAGCTAAACTCCTGCAAGTTTTATTTTTGGGAGATTTTAACTGGATTTAAAAGTTAACTATATTAGTTACTCAGAGGCAAAACAGGTATTCCAAGAGAAAGAGAGCTTGAGAGAAATGAGTAATGAATGTGCTTCTAAGTCTGGCTTATGTGAAGCCTCTGTTAAAACTGACAAGAAACTGCCAAGAGGCTTAAACTTCAGAACCTTTGTAAAAAAAAGTTATCTGGAAAGTGATGAAGACAAAACTCTTTCAGTGAAAGCACCAGAGCCTAATTTAGCAGCATCTTGAGTACCTTATAATGTCGGGAACCAAAGCTTATAATCTGTCACTGGGGACTCTCTGGCATTGGGCCCCTGAGACACTCACCTGTTTGCAAACCACACAGGAAGTATCCACAGGAAGAATTCAAGTTTCCAAAGACCAGTTGTTTCATCAAAGAGAAACACAATCAGCCCAGAGTCCCATGCACGCCCAATCTGCTGTCACCTTATAGTAGATTTTTATGTGTTCCTCTACCTTGAAGGACTAAGCCAACAACTTTTTTTTGTATCCACCCAAGTGGAGTCTTTCTCTTTTCTGAACAGGCAACCAGGGCATGCAGATCGCTTCTATTACCTAATATGCAGGAGGAAACTTAAAGAGAAAAGTGAGAAAAGAAGTGAGAGCATAACACAAAAGGATTGAAGAAGATCAAAAAAGAATAGGAGCCTGATGAGCAGTCATTGGCAGAGTGCCCAGAGCAGCTTCAAGAGAGAGACAGAGCTCAGAAAAATAATTTCCTGCTCTGGGTTAAAAAAATAAATCCAACCATCCTCTAAGAGGTGGTCTATTATTCGTCCTGTGCAGCATTGGGTCATTAGTTCGAAAACTGCAGATGTAATAAAAACAGCAATGACTTTCTTCACACCCAGGTGAATGGGTTTCTCCCTGCGTCAGCCACTGCACACCTGGGTTCTATTAATGTTGTCTTATGTGTGGGTAATTTCTCAGGAAGCTTCAGTCTTTGTGCATCTCTAAAACGTCTCCTATGCTTCTTATCTTCTATTCTTCTGTCTACACTCATCTTTGATAGAAAAGAAGGGTAGGGCAGTGGTTTAGTGCTGCCTTCAGCCCAGGGTGTGATCCTGGAGTCCTGGGATCGAGTCCCAGTATCAGGCTCCCTACATGGAGCCTATTTCTCCCTCTGCCTGTGTCTCTGACTCTCTCTCTCTCTCTCTGTGTCTCTCATGAATAAATAAGTAAAATCTTTAAAAAAGAAAAAAGAAAATAAGGGCAATCCCTACAGAGGCTAGGAAGCAGCAATCATTCACCATAATTATTGCTGGAATCAGCAAAATCCTAAATCGGCTTCTGTCATGGAATACAAAATTGACTTCATCTTTTCCCTCCTCTTTAGAGTTTATCAGCTCCTCTCATTACTGGTACTTTGGAAGTTTCCAAAAATGTTTCACACTCTCTAATGCTTTCCTTCGGGAAGCTGCTAAGACTGGCTTTCTCTTTTCACGTTGCCAGACCAAGAAACCTTGGTCTTGGAGAGGATTTGCCTTAGACCTCCAGGTTTGTTACTAGGAACCATTTTCCATGCAAAATTTTCCTGATGCTTATACAACCTGTAATAAGACCACAGTTCCTTTGAACTCTGAACAGGTGTAGGGTTTTACAGCGCAATATTTTAAGATAGAATTTGTTTTAATCTTCCAGTTAAGCCTCTTTATACAAACAGAGCTGCCAGGAGAACAAATACAATTCCCTTACAAGTTGTTTGTCTAGTTAACAGTAAGTACAAAAATCAGTTTCCTGTTCACACAAAGGATTTTCTTGTGTTTGAAATCTTTGACCAAGGGGACATTGGCTTGGACTTTTATAGGGGATTCGCAACGTTAATAATCTATAGTGCTCTGTGCACCAGGATGTGAGGTGACTTAGCAAGCAGCTGGTTAGCACCAAACAAGTATGTTGCTGGAGCTTCTGAAAAGGACCTTTGTGTGCACAGTGCAAAGGCATCACAAAGGGTCTAAATGGAAACAGAGGTTCAGTGCTCAGTGAAAGATATCAGGAAGTTGGAGGACAGCACAGAGGAAAGGAAAAGTAAAACTTATTGTCAAGATAAAATTAAGACAAGGGTTTGCTAATGGATGGCCAGTTTCCCTCAGGTTTTGTGTTCAAAGTTTTCCTCTTTTTTTTTTCTTATGTATTTCTTCCTTTCTCTTTACGAAACATGAAAACATTCATGTTACTATGTATTTCCAAAGAGCCTTTTCAGTCTTGAGGTCCCTGGCAGGATTATCTTATTCTTGAAAGACAAGTCATATGCAGCATTCATAGATGAAGCCTTGCATTCTTTCAGAGGGATGGTGTCGTGGGAGTATTACTGATTTGTACTCTTTATGCAATACAGAGGTACTTTGCTGGTGTAATCCCCACCCACCAATGAATTAATTGATGTATTTTGTCCTTTTTGCTAGGTTCTTTAAATCTCTTCACTTGTTTCCCCAAACGTGTTTCCCTTCAGCCTAGATAAGTTAGGTAGCCTATTGCACTGGGGAAAGGAAGATATTATAGGAGCTGAATAATAAAGGTAGAATATTCTTATTTCTTATATTCAAAACTGCTAGTTTTGATGGCAAGTGGAAAAATTCACAATCATCCATGTAGAACCAGTTTCTCTTGAGACTAAGTCTGGGTGAATGCAGACATGAGAGAACCCATTACCAGTATGCAGTTTGTAAAATAGACACCAAGACAGGAAATGGACCAGGAAACAGCAGTTCTCAGGGCAATGACTCTTTCCCCACCCCCCACCCCCACCACACAATTTTGATATGACAGCTGTCAAGTATTGATGAGAACAATGGATCTAGGCAGGAGTGGGAGTGGGGACAGTTTGCACAGTTCTGTGTGCAATTGAAGTTGTGGGTGAAGGCTCTCAATTCTCCCAAGGCTCTAGAGCAAGTTATTGATGTGAATTGAGGGAGCCCCTGGCCTCTGTAGGTATTATGGCAGGAATGAGAGGTTTTATCCCTACCAGGAGGCTGAGGGCATATGTTAGCAGATAGATGCCAAGATGCTATGTGGGAGCCAGGTCAGCATTTGCAGCCCCTCCAAGCACCATTGAAATAAGACAAGCTGTCACATCTGGAGAAGGAGGCCAGCCTGGATGGGCCTGATACAGAAGTAGAAGCCTATTGCCTGCTGTTACAGGGGTGCTATCTGCTTACATCTTCTTAGAGTTTATTAGCATCTATGACAGGAGGAGGATAAAGAGGAAACCATCCAGAACAGACTGAGGTTTTTTTTCTATTAAATTTTTTATTTGAGATAATTGAAAATTCACATGCTACTGTAAGAAATATTAGGGAGATCTTGTATATTTTTTATCCAATCTCTCCAATGGTAACAGCTTAAATAATCAGTATAATGCCACAACCAGGATATTAACATTGATACAGCCAAGGTGCAGAACATTTCCATCACCATAAGGATTTTCACGTCGCCCTTTTATAACCATACCTACTTTCTTTCCCAAATCTTAACATCTGGCAACCACTAATCTGTTCTTCATTTTGATGATTTTACTATTTTGAGGAAGTCTGCGTTTCTCTGTCACCTTTGAAGAATAATGTTGCTGATATAAAATGCTAGGTTGTGACTTTTTTCTTTCAACAGTTTAAAAGACTGGAGTTTTACTCCATCCTCTTCTTGCTTGCATGGTTTCTGATGAGGAGCCCAGTGTTAATTCTTATCCTTGTTCCTCTCCAGGCAAGGTGTTTTTTTCTCTAGTTTCATTCAAGATTTTCTTCGTCTGCTTTTTGCAGTTCGAATATGATACGCATATGTATGGTTGTGTGTGTTAACATTTATCTTGCTTGATAAATTGATTTGTGTATCTTTCATTAACTTTGGAAAGTTCTTGCCCACTGTTACTTCAAGTATTTTCAAATTATTGAGCTATTCCAGTTCCTTTCCCTTTACATATAGTAGAACAATCTTTTCTATGTATCCAAAAAGTCCTTCAGGAGCAGTGTGAAGAAGAAGAGGCGAGAACACCCCCCGGACCGGCCAAAGCCTGCGTGCCGCCGCATTCCCGCGTCGAGCGCTTATGTCCCGCCGCCGTCGCCACCATGTCCAAGAGAAAGGCCGAAGGGGATGCTAAAGGAGATAAAGCCAAGGTGAAGGATGAGCCACAGAGAAGATCTGCAATGTTATCTGCTAAACCTGCTCCTCCAAAGCCAGAGCCCAAGCCTAAAAAGGCCCCTGCAAAGAAGGGAAAGAAGGTACCCAAAGGGAAAAAGGGGAAAGCTGATGCTGGCAAGGATGGAAATAACCCTGCAGAAAATGGAGATGCCAAAACAGACCAGGCACAGAAAGCTGAAGGTGCTGGAGATGCCAAGTGAAGTGTGTGCATTTTTGATAACTGTGTACTTCTGGTGACTGTACAGTTTGAAATACTATTTTTAGTATTATAAAAATGCAGAATTTTGTTTTACTTTTTTTTTTTTAAGCTATGTTGTTAGCACACGGAACATTTCATTGTTGTTTTGGGGGAAGGGCATATGTCACTAATAAAATATCTCCGAAAGTAGATTGATAACAAGAGGGAAAAACACCTTCCCCTTCTAGTTTTGAGAAACTTCCTCTTGGCTCCCAGGAGGAGGGATTCCTTGATGTTGACACACATGAGCCACCTTGGTGGTGTGGAAAAACTAAAATTCATTTTTTTATGTCCTCTTCTCCCTCTCTACCTTCAACATAGACTTGACTCCCTTAAACCCAGAGACCTGTTGGAACCTGACTCCATGAAATGGTTCCCAGTATGTCAGGCAATCTGGACTTTACAGTGTCACCACTGAGAAGGCGTCCCTCAAAAGAGTTCCTTTTTTTTAGCTTGTGGATCTTCAGATTAATAATTCTGCCATTTTCATTTCATTTCCTGAAAGTCAGGGTCGGCTTGTGAAAAGTTGTTAAACAACATGCTAAATGTGAACTGTCAACCCTCACTCTAAACTTTCCCTGTTCAGAGCATCACATGAAGACTTCATTGGGTTTTATAGTGGCTTTCTGATTTTGGTAGTCCATTGAAGAAAGGAGTTTGAAAGTTGTTGTATACTGTTAATGATCGTCTGCCCATGTCCTGCCTGAAATACCATGATTGTTTATGAAAAGTATCTTTAATAAAGCTGGATACAGTTTGGCTTGGAAAAAAAAAAAGTCCTTCAGAGATTTGATCAAAATTGCAGTAAATCTATATATCATTTTGGGGAGAGTTGATGTTTTTACTATGTTGAGCCTTCCAATCCAACTGTCTCTCCATTTATTTAGGTCTTCTTTAATTCCTTTTATTAGCATTTAGTTTTCAGTATATAGTCCTATTCATGTTTTCTTAGACTTATATGTAGAAATTTGAAAAACTTTTAAGTGATTTTTTTGTATTTTTATCTTGTATACTGAGACCTTGCTGAACCCATGTTGTAATCCAAGAACTTCTCCACACATCTGCAGTAGTGACAGTTTTATTTCTTTCTTTCTAGTCTAATTTGCCTTCTATTTCCTTTCTTGCCTTATTGAACTGGCTATAACTTCCAACACTATGTTGAATAGTAGTGGTGAGACCAGACATCCTTGCCTTGTTCCCAATCTTAGGGGAAAAAAATGTTTAGTTTCTCATCATTAAGTATAATGTTACCTGTAAGGTTTTTTTTTTTTTTTTGTAGAAGCTCTTAATCAAAAGAATAAGTTATTGATAAGAGAACAAGTTGAAAAGGTTTTTCCTCTATCACTATATCTCTGTGAATTTTTAATCATGAGTGCATATTAAATTTTACCAAATGTTTTTTTCTACACTGATTAATATAATCATGTAGATTTTCCTTCTTTATGCAGTAGATTATATTGATTGAGTTTTGAGTATTGTACCAATCTTGAATCCCTGGAATAAATCTCACTAGGTTATGACATGTAATTATTCTTCTTTATTGCCAATACTATATTGCTAATATTTTATAAAAATTTTTGAGTCATTATTTATAATTTATAATATTGATCATAGTTTTATTTATCTGATCTTGACATTGGGGTAATACTAATTTTATAAAATGAATTGGAAAATGTTCCTTCTTTGTGATGGTTAATTTCCTGTGTCTATTTGGCTAGTCCACAGCACCCAGAAATTTTTCAAATATTATTCTAGATGTTTCAGTGGAAGTATTTTAAAAATGAGATTAACCTTTAAATCAGCAGACTTTGAATAAAGCAGATTACCTTCTATAATATGTGTGGCCCTTATTCAAGCAGTTAAAGGTGTTAATGGAAGGATATTGACCTTCTTTAAAGGATGGGGAATTTTGTTGGTAGAATTTTGTTGCCTTTGGACTTAAACTGCATTATTAACTCTTCCTGGGTCTTCAGATAGCCAGCCTACCCTGTAGATTTTGAACTTGACAGCCTCCACAATCACATGATCCAATTTCTTAGAATAAAACCCTCCCCATCTCTACACACACACACACACACACACACACACACACCCTATGGGTTCTATTTTTCTGGAGAGTTCTAATACACTCCCACATATTGTGGAAGAGATTGCATAGAATTGGTGTTACTACTTCTTTAAATATCTGATAAAATTTGCTGGTGAACCCATTGGGCCTGAAGATTTCTTTTTTTGAATTTTAAAATTATTAATGCAGTTTCCTTACTATGTATAGAGCTATTCATATTATCTATTTCAAGAAATTGGTCCATTTCATCTACATTATCAAATTTAGGTGTGTAGAATTGTTAGCAATATTCTTACATTACCCTTTGATATGCATCTGGATATCCCCAGTTTTGTTCCTGATATAAGATACTGTATCTTTATTTTTTCTTTATCTGTCTTGTATAGGCTGCCAATTATATTGCTTTGTTGAAAAACCGAAACCAAAAACCCAGCTCCTTGTTTCATTGATCATCTCTATTCTTTTTCTGTTTTTAATTTCATTGGTTTTTATTCTCATGGTATGGTTTAATTCCTTCTGCTTGCTTTGGTCCTCTTTCTAGGATCTTCCCATGAGAACCTAAATTTTGATTTGAGACTTTTCCTTTTTTTAGAGTATATGCAGTATATGCACTTGATGTTACAGATTTCTCTTGCGGCAGTGCTTTTAGTAATGTCCCGCAAATTTTGATGTTGTATTTTAATTTTCATTCAGTTCAGCATATTTTCTTTCAAATATTTTATTTATTTATTTGAGAGAGAGAGAGAGAGAACACAAGTGAGATGAAGGGCAGAGGGAGATGGACAAGCAGACTCTTTACTGAGCAGGGAGTCCAAAGTGAGGCTCAATCTCAGGACCCCAGGATCACAACCTGAGCCAAAGGCAGACAACCAACCAACTGAGCCACACAGGCACCTCACTTCAGTGTATTTTAATATTTCTTTTGGGACTTCTTTACCTCATGGATTGTTTAGAAGTGTATCATTTAGTTTTCAAGTAGGAGATTTTCCTATTATAATTTTGTTATTGATTTCTAGTTTGATTTCATAGTGATCAGAGAACACTCTTCAACTCTGATAATTTTCCCTGTTCTGAAGTCTACTTTATCTGATATTAGTATAAAGTAATATTAATATGCTTTTGTTTGATCAATGTTTGTATATCTTTTTACATTCTTAAGTTTTCCATTTGTCTTTATCATTACATTTAAATGAGAATCTTAGAGGTAGCATGTAGTTCAGACATGGTTTTAAATCCCTATTGCCTCTCTCTGTTTTTTATTTTTAAAAAAATTTTTAAAAGTTTTTATTTATTTATTTGAGACAGAGAGAGAGAAAGCACAAGCGGGGGAGCAGCAGAAGGAGAAGGAGAAGCAGACCCTCTGCTGAGCAGGGAGCCTGATCGGGGTCTCAATCCCTGGACCCTGGGATCATGACCTGAGACAAAGGCAGACACTTAAACAATTGAGCCACCCAGGTGCCCCTCTCTCTGTGTTTTAATTGGTCCATTTAGACTACTTGCATTTATATGTAACTGTTGCTATGTTAGGTTTCATCCTGCTATTTTACTTTTTAAATTTCCTGTTTATTCTCCATGGTTTTTTGTTTGTTTGCTTGTTTGTTTCTCTGGGACTTTTTTAAAGGTTTATTTATTTAAATAATCTCTACCTTGAATGCAGGGCTTAAACTCACCATTCCACAATCAAGAGCATGCTCTTCCAGATGAGCCAGCCAGGTGCCCTTCTGTCTTCATTTTCTTGCTTTTCTCTGGGTTATTTGAACATTTTTTTAGAATTCCATTTTAATTCATTCATGCCAATTTTGAGTATATCTTTTTGTACAGTTTTAGAGGTTACTCTAGATATTACCTTGCATATATATAACTTACCAAATTCTGTTGTTGGAGATGAGAAAGTATTGCACATTATTGAATGGATTTTTTTTTAAGATTTTATTTATTCATTCATGAGAGACACAGAGAGGTCAAGACACAGACAGAGGGAGAGGCAGGCTCCATGCAGGGAGCCTGACGTGGGACTTGATCCCAGGACTCTGGCATCACATCCTGAGCTGAAGGCAAAGGCTCAACCGCTGAGCCACCCAGTTGTCCCTATTGAATGCATTTTAAGTGATGGTTCTCTTAATCATTTGTGGATTATTTTCAGATGAGAAGTATGATAGTACTATCTCATTCTCCAACCCCCTATGATTCTTTAAAATTCTTTGAAATAAATTTTATCCACTATGATTTGGGGGAAAATTAATCTTAGAACAAACCTATTACTAGTAGTGCTGGCTGGAAATGATGCAAACATTAAGCTCTTTCTCTTTAGTTGGAGAAGTGCTAAGAAGTTCAGATTGGCTGTTCCCTGTCCAGTCTTTAGCTATCATAGTTAATTATACCTACTCAAGATGCATCTGAAAGGACCATAATTTAATCAAACGTAAGGAGGGCTAACTATGGTAGTGCCAACAGGAGTGGGATGGCAGGGGGGGCATGGGAAACTTGTATCTCTATTTGTCCTTTAGTAACAGAATTTCTCATTTCATGTAAGGATTTACTACTCCTATACAGTGTTCATTAAAGCATTAGAACATTGTACGTTAGGACTTAAAACTCTTAGAGATTTGCCGCACATTTTCCTGGGGAGGAAATACCATGAATATTCCAACCTATTGAAGGTTAATGCTGGTACTAGAGAGAACAGATATTTTTTGAGTGGTTCATCCTCCAAAAGAGTGTCCCATCTTTGGTTTGTAATTCAAGTATTTTATTTTCTGATTTTAAATACTAAAGAAATTTCAGTATAGACAGAGGCTCACTTTTTAATTCTAATTCTGTTCTTTTAGTTCTCCAGTTCTTATTGCAAAAGTAACAGATGGGAATTTGTTCCCAGGAGTTATACATCACTCTAGAGGCCTATTCAGTTTCAATATTTGATGAGGTCTCAGGGATCTGTCAGTATAGTCTGATGCTTGAAACAACCCCTACTGTTATGGATACCTCTTTTCACAGCCTGAGCTCTTGATTCTGACATTTTAGGAGATAAGTGCCATGTTTCAAAACTGTGGAGTGAATAACAAGATGGAAAAAATTTTTTTTCTCTGTCTTAGGATGTCCATTTGTTCAAGTTCTTAGTAAAAAGCAACCTAGAAAAACAACTACATGGAATAGGCCAAAGTTTCTATGGTAAAATAGTAGGATTGAGTAACTCCCAGAGGATAATCAGATTAATTTAGATTCTTGGCATCTTTGTGAGGCTGGAGGTAAAGTGAACAAAGGGAACCACAGCCCTTCTCCATCAGAGACTTTCCTGCAGGCTTCAGAATCTGTAATCTGCTGCTGATTGCACATGGCCTGACTCTCTGAAGATCATTCGCTCCTGCAAAGTAGTGTTCATCCACTTAAGAAGGTCTGTGGAGGCTTTCACAAAATCCCTCTAACCAATTTCAAATGTATTTACAAAAGGAACTGTGGCATAGAAAAACTCCCCGTCTCCTGCTCTCTTGTTACCAGCCATTTCTTGAACTCATTATTTAACTAACATAAAAGGTCATGTAAACACCTCTGAGGCAGTAATAAACTCTTTATTATTCTCTATATAAATTTGGGCTAAATCTACACATCTGACATGATTGATAGAGCATACAATAAGGACAAATTCATGATAAGTACTCAGTAAATATTTGTTGAGTGAGGGAAAATATACTTGGTATTAATCTATCCAAAAAATGGGAAATTTTACCAAAAGTGACAGTGTGGTGAGAAAATTTTTACTTCAATTTATAGTTTTCTGTATAGTCTTTGAAATAGGAGAGGATGGCATGACAGAGAAAGAAACTTTGTTTTATCACAAAAACTTCCATATAAATGATCATCAGCTTGATTTCTTGAGCTACTATTTTAATTCATCTTCGAAGGAGGCTTCCTTTATGTTAGAAGAATCACAAAAATGGTCATCTAATTAATTACTGGGATGTAAAGCAAATACCCACTCCTTTTTGAGGTTAAAATCACTATATATATGAGTATAGTTGTGCAGGCTAAGAAGCTTAGCATTCTGTAAAGAAGTGTCTTTTGAGAATATTTCCTCCTAAGTATAGATATCTATAAGATTGTCAATATCCCAAAGAGAGTAGTATTTAAGCTTGAATAACTCAGGTTTGAGGATATATGCTTAGAGTCCATGAAGTCAGACCATACCTTGTGGGTGCAATGGAGTTCTCTAGAAGAATATTGTCACCATTAATCATCCTGGGATTCAAAGTGAATGGTTTTGTTTTGGGTGAACTGTTGACCTGCTTCTCTCTCTGAGAAAGGAAAAGAGCATAAATGCCAACAGTGGTGGCTAAGCTGATGTCTGCCACATGGAAAGAACAAAGCAAGAACTTGAGATCTTAAGTTCAGGGCTATGAGTCACTTGAACTAACTATGTGGTA